GTTGCTAAATCGTTTTTTCCTTTAATTAACATGCTTACTTTAGGACTGAGGTCTGTATGTTTTACCATAAGAAATTATGCATTGAATTTTATTTCTTCAGTGTTTTTTTTTTCAGTGTTAGTTTTGCCATTTTTCTCTATAAGTCTATTAATATAGAGTGTTATACTAATGAATTCTTTAACCTTGCATTCCTGAACAAATCAAACTCATTCATTGCCTATCATTTTCTCAATATGGTGTTAGATTATATTTATTAATATTTTATTTAAAACTTTTACCTAATTATTTTTAATTAAATACTCTAAAGATCTTTGTTGTTCTGTTTTTTTTTAAAATTTTTATTATTATCAGTCTTGGCTATCAATGTTAATATTATATCACTCTAGTGAAGTTTTCCTTCATTTTCAATGCTCTGTAATAATTTTAGAGTATTGGGATAATTCATTTTTTGAATTTTTGTTAGAAATTCTCTTGAAATACTTTATAGGGTGTGCTTAGTCACTCAGTCATATCCAACTCTTTGTGATCCCATGGACTGTCGCTCACCAGACTCTTTTGTCCATGGGATTCTCCAGGCAAGAATACTGGAGTGGACTGCCATGCCCTCCTCCAGGGGGTTTTCCCCACCCAGGGATTGAACCCAGGTCTTCTATATTGCAGGTGGACTCTTTACCATCTAAGCCACAAGGGTAGACTCCAGTTTGCTCTGGAAGTGCCTAAATAATCTCTAACAGCATTTCTAGAGCACTAATGATGGGTCACCTGCATCAGAGTCAGCTGGGGTACTTGCTAAAAATGCAGATTGCTAGTCCCCTACCTAAACTTGATGAGTCAAAATCTTCTAAAGAAGGTTTCATATATTTTCATTTTTTTACTTGTTTTCCAGATGACTCTAATACACAGTAAAGTTTGAGAACTGCTGAGACATACTTAATCATTCCCAAACAACTGAGAGAGTCTCTCAACCCTTACAGAAGTGACTGATTTTATCATGAGAGCACCTCAATAAGCTGCCTTATGTTTGACCACTTCACCTGTGTCAAGAATCTGAACAGTGAATGCAGTTTAGCCAGAGGGATGCAGTGGTAACCAAAGAGCAAGTGGTAACAAGAGGAATGTGTGTTAGTCACTCAGTAGTGGCCGACTGTTGCAACTCTATGGACTGCAGCCCACCAGGCTCCTCTGTCCATGGGGATTCTCCAGGCAAGAATACTGGAGTGTGTTGCCGTGCCCTCCTTCAGGGGATCTTCCCAACCCAGGGATCGAACCCAGGTCTCCCACATTGCAGGAGGATTCTTACTAGTCTGAGCCAGCAGGGAAGCCCTTATCTATAAGGTGGTTGGCTTATAATTTTATTTTTTCCCCAAGGAAACATATGTTTTTAAAGTATTTTTTGTCTTTAATCCAGTCATTTTTATAGACTATATTTCTATGGAGACTTGCCTATTATATCCAGATTTTTCAAATTTATTTACTTAGAAGTCTTAGAGGAATTTTAGGATTTAAAAAAACTCTTCTGTTTTAATGATTAGGTTACATTTGTGACTTTATTTTTATATTTGTACTTTTCTCCTTTTATAAGTTAATAAGTTAATTACTGTTCACTTACTTTTCTTAGAATGTCAGGATTTTGATTAATTTGATCTGCTTTTTTAAACTTTGACATCTCAATTGTCTTTATTATTTTTTTATGTGCTTTTAAAGTTTTCTGTGTTGTTTCTGTTTTAGTTCATGAGATGGGAATTTAATTCATTTTAAAATTGATTGAAGTGTTCAAGGCTCTACATGTTTTATTCTAAACACTGCTTTAAATGTATACCATAGATAAGTAATGTTTTCTTTATTTCTTAGAAATGTGTAATGTCTTTACAGTGGAAAATTTAAATTGTACTGTGATTGGATGAATAATGGAGTAGGTGAAAAGAGTCCGGGAAAAGCTTGTTGGTGTTATTTTAACATTTTTAGAAGAGGAAACTGTGACTTAGATTTGTGTAATTTGCCCAAGGCTACATAACAATAAGTTGTTATGGTTCAAATTTGAACGCATTCTGATTCCACAGCTGTGGCTTTTACTTAAGCAATAATATTGTGAGGTCACAGAGGTACTGAAAGGTGTGGCTTAATCAGGGAACAGTAAGTAGCACAGTGTGACTGGAGTGAAATTGGCACTTAGTGGTATCATTTCTGTGTCGGGCAAATAGTTCTTTGGGATACCATTAACATGAAATAAAGCAGGTTTATGTAAGATGATGGGTAAGTGTGATGCATATACCAGACAGCTAAATGCAACTGTCTAGTGCTTAGGTGAGCCTCTGGATCAGGAGGTCTGTAGAATGGTTTGTACTGGAGATGTGAATCATTTGTCATTAGCTTATAGATGATAATTTAAATACGGACTTCTGAACCTGGTAAGAATATTGTGAATACTGAGATGATTAGAGGGTGTAGAAAACAGTGAAATTAAGATTGAGTGGAAAAGAGCCTGAAAAACAAGAAAAAAAGTCAAAATACTAGAAGGAATTTAGGATGTGTGTGCTAAGTTTTCAGTTATGTCTGACTCGGTAGCCTGTCAGGCTCCTCTGTCCATGGGATTCTCCAGATAAGAATATTGGAGTGGGTTGCCATGCCCTTCTCCAGGAATTTAGGATATAGTGGCTTATAGGTGCCAAAGAAGAATTTCAAGGAAAAGGGGAAGTCATTAGTGTTATGTGCTCTGGAGTAAAAGAAGGATAAAATAAGAAAATGTTCATTTAATAATAGCTTAAAGGAAAATTAATATCATAAATGATGAGTCTAGTGGAGTGATGGGGATTTGAAAGAAAAAGGAGATTTGTGAAGGGAAAGTGTGAGAGGGTGGTGGTAACTATTGGAGTGTGAGTATGAGGGTGCTTCTTCGCCCTCCGTACTTTCCTCGCTCAAACTCCCTTTTCCTTTCCTTTATTTATCTCGTTCCTTTCTCTTCCTTTATTCTACCCTTTCTTTTCTTAACATGGCGTACGTGAACATATAATGTTACAGAGTGAGAATTTAACTCATGACAATGTGACATTTTGTCTTACATTATTGATATAAATATGAATAACATGCATGGTGGTATGGTGGTTTATTTGCTAAGTTGTGTCTGACTTGTGACCCCGTGGACTGTAGTCTGCCAGCCTTCTCTGTCCATGGGATTTTCCAGTCTAGTTATATTGGAGTTAGTTGCCATTTCCTTCTCTGGGGGGATCTTCCCTACATAGAGATCAAACCCAAATCTCTTGATTGCAGACAATCTCCTGACAACAAGGTGGCGTAATGGTAAAGAATCTGCCTGCCAGTCCAGGAGATGCAGGAGCCTTGGTTTCCTCAGATACTTTACCGCTGAGCCACTGGGGAAACCTATCCATACACTTTGTACCTTTTATACCTGAAAGTAAACATACTTGTCCAACAAATTTTAACAACCTTTGAAGTAATGATGAAGTGCTAAAAGCTTTACATATTTTAGTCAATTAGAACCTCATCATCACCTCTATGTCAGTTTTACAAATGAGGAAACTGAAGGAAGTTAAGTAAACTTGCCAATTGTTTTGTACTTACTTTGGCAATATAATTTCAAGGTCTGTGCTCTTAATCATAAAGCTGTATTCCTTTTTACTATACTTTAGTACCTATTGTCATTCCTTTAAAAAGTTAGTAATATTTTTAGTATAATTTTAATTTAGAATTAGAAGTTAGAATATTTTGACATTTCATGGAAGTCTGTTAGCATATAGAATAATGAAGAATAGAAAAAATAATTTCTGAAAAAGATATATCAAGTACAAATGTGAATTAAAGTTACAGTTTTTTTTTTTTTTTTTGTATTTTAGTTAAAATAGTGAAATGCTTGTTGGAGAAACTAGGATACCTTACCCAATATGGCACATGGTATTTGAAAAATACAATATAGCTATACAATAAAAGCATATGTAAGATAATTAAGTAGTCCTGTATGGTACCAACAAAAAATTGATACAGTCTTTAGTTTGTTAATACCTAATGACCTTATAAATGTCTTTCTTCAGGGAAAAATGCAATTGCCATTGTGAGCTACCTTCCAGAATTTATGCTAGAGCTTCGCTGACGTTGCTACTGATGCCAATGTGGAATAAAGGTCTTTATAATTTAGACAGTCAAAATGGATAAATGAATTACTCTTAAAAGTGATTTAGTTCCTCTTCTTAAACATTAAACCACACATACAAATGTATTTGAATTTTTAGAAGGAACATTTGAAAATAATCTGTTTATTTTGCTGTTATCAGTATTTTTGTCTCACTTCATGTTTGGAATTGGTTTTCCTTTTGTGACCTTTGTGTTTGAACTCTACAATCTAATAATGTTATGTTGTGAAACTAATAACAGAGTTGCATTTCACCATTATTTGTCTGTGGAAACATACTAAAATTGACCTTAATAAGAAAAAAAATCTTCTGTTGTAAAAGAAGAAATTAGCCCAGAGACAGTAGATTAACTGTTGTAATGTCATTGTTTTTCCCCTTAGCCCTGGTAGTAACTAATTCCTCTGATTTGCCTCTTGGGTCATAAGATCACTGAATACACGGATGCGTGTCCTGCTCATTGCTGTCTTCTTGGTGCCTGGTGCCTGTGTCTGGCACTGGTAGACATCCTAGTGCTTTCTTGTAACTAACTGAATAGGTAAAAAATACAGTTGAATAATTTCTGAGTTGCAAGTGCACCCCTGTGGTAATGTATTAGTATGTAAACATTAAGACACTATTGAATTGTTTTGTTTGCCTGGGTCTCATATGGAAATGTCATGTTAAATTTAGAAACACTAGTTTTAGATCTTAGATAACAATCCCTGAAAAGGAATCATAGAATCCTCATTTTCTGTCCTTTGCTTTTACTTTCCTTGTCCTGTTTCCTTCCCTTCCCTCTACTCTCTTTCTTCTCCTCAATCCGCTTTTTATTTTCCTTTTACTAATACTTTTTTTGGTTTATTTGTTTTCCTTCAGTATCTGGAGTCCATCTTTCTCCAGCTTCTCCTGAGATTGTATTGGACCATGACCACACTTCCCCTTCAGTTGGCTGCCTCTCTTCTGAGCCCATTATTGCATCACCAGAGAATACACATGCAGATAACAGCATTGGCAGTCAGACTCTTCCTAAAGCACAGGTAACGACAAGCAAATTTTTATAGGAAGTTTTCCTACTTAAAAAATTGCATACTGATTTGATTGAAGTTTTCTTGATTTCCTTTTTTTTTTTTCCTGTAGATACGCTTTGAGGTTAATATTTCGAATTATAAAAACTGAACGATGTTTGTTTTGTGACATAATTTCAAGGTGTCCAAATAGCTTTAGTTACTAAAAAATGATTTGACTATCTTTTTTATTAAAATAGACTTAATTTTGCATTGGAAATTGTGAATTTCAAAAAGGAAAATAATTACAAAAAACTTTTTCTTGGGGCTTCCGTTGTGGTCCAGTGGTTAAGAATCTGCCTGCTGATGCAGAGGATACTGGTTTGATCCCTAGTTTGGAAAGAGCCCACATGCCTCGGAGCAACTAAGCCCATGTACCACAAGTACTAAGCGCTCTGGAGATCAGGAGCCACAACTTCTGAAGCCTGCATCTCTAGAGTCATGCTCTGCAACAAGAGCAGCTACTGCAATGAGAAGCCTGCACATCACAATGGAAAGTAGCCCCCATTCATGACAACTAGAGAAAGCCCACATGTAGCAGTGATGATCCATTGCATCCAAAAACATAATAAAATAAATACATACATAAAGTAATAAATCTTATAAAATAAAAAAAAATATTTCTCTTTAAGGGGAACTTAAAATATATTTTGAAAAAGAATATTCATTTTAGTTTTAGAATAAAAACAAAAATATAGCAGTCATAACGTTTATTCTTTCAACTGTTTATTGATCCAAGCCTTGTGCTAGATGCTGGAGTTGGTCCAGATTTCCAAAGTGCTATATACCATCTTGAGTCACCTGTGATCTTTACTAGAAAGTGATGATCAATTAAAGATTATTGATAAATTTCAAATTCTGATTTATAGTTTAATAGATAAGCAAATTCTGAATGTGTGTGTAAATTTAAGAACTTGTGAATGTCAGAATTGTCTATACTTATTATACACCCTCAACATAAGAAAAAAAGTTTTAAGTTTTTTAGTGCTTTGTTTGGAAAATAATAAATACCTTAAACTCTTAAGTTTAGAGAAAATTTTGTTTCTTAGATCAGATTGTTGTAACAGTTTGAGGTCTTCTGTTGATTTACTTAAAGGGTGAAATAATTTCAGAACTTTGCTACAACTTAATTTCCAATGTGGTTTCTAGTGCCCTTTGGGTGATTTCTTTCTTGGTACAGTGTAAACTTTCTTCTCTTGTGTGTGTGTGTGTGTGTGTTTTTTAATGTGGTTTAGATTCAGCAATCAACACACACTCATCTGGATATCTCACTTTTTCCACTGGGTTTAACTGATGAGAAAAGTAATGGAACAATTGCTCTTGTGGATGATTCTGAGGATCCTGGAGCCAATGTATCAAACATACAGCTTCAGCAGAAAATTTCCACTCTGGAGATGAAACTCAAAGTTTCTGAAGAAGAAAAACAGAGAATTAAAAAGGTATATTTACATTTGTCTAAAAAATAAATGTTTGAATTGCATATTCTGGAAATACAATATAATCCCAACCTCTGATTGAAAATTCATCAGTGGAAAAGCTGTTATGACTCTTTGTGACAGGTTTAAATCAGTTAGATGAGTCTATCACTTACAAAAGCCTTTGGTAAGAAGTTTCTAGCCATAAATATACACTTTTAAAGATATGAATGGCTTTTACCAGATTTTTTTTTCCCTAATGAATGCTTTCCTTTGGGTTTCTTTAGTTTGAAAGCACATGGTGTTGCAATTTTATGTAGATTAGAAGATTTGCACTATTCATTTGTTTTTATGAGAACTCAGGCATCATGTCAAATATTGACAGAACACTTAGAAATACAGCTGTTCTAGTAAATTATTTATGTATGTTCTTATTTCAATTTTCTACAAATGTCTCTATAAAAAGACTTTAGCACCTTAGGGAAAGTATGTGTTGGGGTCAGTTCAGTTCAGAGGATCAGTCATGTCTGACTCTTTGCGACCTCATGGACTATAGCACACCAGGCATCCCTGTCCATTGCCAACTCCTGGAGTTTACTTAAACTCATGTCCATTGAGTCGGTGATGCCATTCAACCATCTCATCCTCTGTCGTCTCCTTCTCCTCCTGCCTTCAGTCTTTCCCAGCATCAGGGTCTTTTCCAGTGAGTCAGTTCTTCGCATCAGGTGGCCAAAGTATTGGAGTTTCAGCTTCAGCATCAGTCCTTCCAATGAACACCCAGGACTGATCTCCTTTAGGATGGACTTGTTGGATCTCCTTGTAGTCCAAAGGACTCTCAAGAGTCTTCTCCAACACCACCATTCAAAAGAATCAATTCTTCAGTGCTCAGCTTTCTTTATAGTTCAACTTTCATATCCATACATGACTACTGGAAAAGCCATAGCTTTAACTAGACAGACCTTTGTTGGCAAAGCAATGTCTCTGCTTTTTAATATGCTGTCTAGGTTGGTCATAACTTTTCTTCCAAGGAGCAAGCATCTTTTTATAGCTGCAATCACCATCTGCAGTGATTTTGGAGCCCTCCAAAATGAAGTCTGTTACTATTCCCACTGTTTCCCCATCTATTTGCCATGAAGTGATGGGACCAGATGCCAGCATCTTAGTTTTCTGAATGTTGAGCTTTTAGCCAGCTTTTTCACTCTCCTCCTTCACTTTCATCAAGAGGCTCTTTAGTTCTTCTTCGCTTTCTGCCATAAGGGTGGTGTCATCTGCATATCTGAGTATATTGATATTTCTCCCGGCAGTCTTTATTACAGCTTGTGCTTCATCCAGTCCAGTGTTTTGCATGATGTACTCTGCATATAAGTTAAATAAGCAGGTGACAATATACAGCCTTGATGTACTCCTTTCCTGATTTGGAACCAGGCTGCTGTTTCATGTCCAATTCTACCTGTTGCTTCCAGACCTGCATACAGATTTCTCAAGAGGCAGGTCAGGTGGTCTGGTGTTCCCATCTCTGTAAGAATTTTCCACAGTTTGTTGTGGTCCACACAGTCAAAAGGCTTTGGCATAGTCAAAAAAGCAGAAGTAGATGTTTTTCTGGAACTCTCTTGCTTTTTCGATGATCCAGCGGATGTTGGCAACTTGATCTTCATTCCTCTGCCTTTTCTAAATCCAGCTTGAACATCTAGAAGTTCATGGTTCACGTACTGTTGAAGCCTGGCTTAGAGAATTTTGAACATTACTTTACTAGTGTGTTAGATGAGTGCAGTTGTGTGGTAGTTTGAGCATTTGTCATTGCTTTTCTTTGGGATTGGAATGAAAACTGACCTTCTCCCATCCTGTGGCCACTGCTGAGTTTTCCAAATTTACTGGCATATTGAGTGCAGCACTTTCACAGCATCATCTTTTAAGATTTGAAATTGCTCAACTGGAATTCTGTCACCTCCACTAGCTTTGTTCATAGTGATGCTTCCTAAGGCCCACTTGACTTCACATTACAGAATGTCTGGCTCTAGATGAGTGATCACACCATCATGATTATCTGGGTCGTGAAGATCTTTTTTGTATAGTTCTTCTATGTATTGTTGCCACCTCTTCTTAATATCTTCTGCTTCTGTTAGGTCCTTACCATTTCTGTCCTTTATTGTACCCATCTTTGCATGAAATGTTCCTTTGGTATCTCTCATTTTCTTGAAGAGATCTCTAGTCTTTCCCATTCTATTGTTTTTCTCTTTTTCTTTTCATTGATTGCTGAGGAAGCCTTTCTTATGTCTCCTTGCTATTCTTTGGAACTCTGCATTCAGATGGGTATATCTTTCTTTTTTGCCTTTACTTTTAGCTTCTCTTCTTTTCTCAGCTATTTGTAAGGCCTCCTCAGACAGCCATTTTGCCTTTTTGCTTTTCTTTTGCTTGGGGATGGTCTTGATCCCTGCCTCCTGTACAATATGTTGAAGCAGGATGTTGTTTATAGTTAGCTTAAATGCTTTTATGTATTTATTTAGTGTGAATGCTTTTAGTATTATAAATCAAGGTTAGTGTTAATGTTAGTGCTTGGTATTGGTCTGGAAATGAGAGTGAAGTGTACATTTTATATTGTTGAACTTTAAAAACCATATTTCCTGTGGGTTCTTTCCTTACCAAATATTTTCTATTGTGTCATTGAAAAATCAGAGTCTGTTTTTTTTGCCATAAATATTACACAATTTATGCTTGTTTTTTGTCTTTTAGGATGTGGAATCATTGATGGAGAAACATAGTATCTTAGAAAAAGATTTCCTTAAAGAAAAAGAGCAAGAGGCCATTTCTTTTCAAGATAGATACAAAGAACTTCAGGTAAACACAGCGAATTAAAAATTTAATATGTAGGCCTTTTGATGATGCATAGTCATATATAATTTCAGAAAGTGCTCAATAAATGCTTTATGAGTAAGGGATCAGATACTTGCTTAAATATGTAAAATACTGACTAATATTGATGAAATCAATGATAAATGCCATTTTGAAAAGTAGAGATCTCTGAGAAGCTGTGAAGGTTAGTTGCTTGAGTCTCAAGCTGGCCTAAAATATTCTGTTTCTGATGATTTTTTCAATTTGGAAATTGCACATTCCAGTTTTTCATATTGTGATTACATTTCAAAAGAACTGAGATATTTAACCTTTTTCATAAATGTAATCAGTCTCCTCTTCTCCTCACATTTCCTTAACAAATTTGTTTCTTCTGCAGTCTTATCCTTCTCAGTAAATAGCAATTCTGTCTTTCCAGATGCTAAAGCTGAAAGCCACATTTACTCCTTTTGTACTTAGTCCAAGTCGTTCCTTTAGCTGTTGCCTCTACCTTCACAATATCCAGGTTTTGACTGTTTATCATTATGGTCACTGCTGCCAACCTATTCTAAGCTGGCCTTATTTCTTCCCTGGAATACTGAAGTATCTTCTGTTCTAACTTACCTTTCTGCTTCTGTCATTGCCCATTTACAGATCATTCTCTGCATGGCAGCCACTGTGATCTGTTTAATAGTTAAAGCTGCTCATGTCATTTCTCTGCTCTGAAACCCTCGGTGGCTTCTCATCTCCCCGAAACTAAAAGTCAAGTAAGTCCTTAAAGCAGTTTGCAAGGCCCTTCATTTTCATGTGTCCCTTCTCCCTCCTTTTCCCTGACTCTTTCTCCTCACTTGTTTTACTTTACCCCTCTGTCTAGAATACACCACCCTCACTTTTCTGCATGGTTTACTTTTTGATATCATCCTGGTCTCCATGCCAGTCTCACCTTACCAAGGGAAATCTTTTAAACAGTGCTTACATCCCCTACCAGCTTTCCCATATTCTCCTTTATTTTTCTCCATAGCACTTTTTGCATCTGACAAACTGTGTATTTACTTGTTTATTTGCATAGATCATTTTAGTAGTCTTCTAAGTGGTCTTGTAGCTTCTACCCTTGCTCTTTGCCCCTAATGAGTCTTTGTTTCAGCAGGTGAAATAATATTTTTAAAAATGTGCATCACTTCATTACCCAACCTCAATTATCATTCTCCTCCTTTCGGTGTAAATCTTCTGACTTCTGTCCAACTCACTGCCACCCCCCCCCCCCTGCCCCCCCCACACTGACCCTCGCCCGGCCTCACCTCAGCTGCTTACTTACACTGAGCTCCTAAGAGGTCCAGGTGAATGTGTGAGTCTGTGTTACTGAGAGCATTCCCTGCCTGTTGGGGTGGTGAATGGAGGGAAAGTATTTGGGATTCATTCACATTTTCTCTGACTGGAATGGTCTTGCTTCAGATATCTGCATGGTTTTTGTTTCAAAAAGGTCAAAACTTGAAAATAAGGAAAAGCATTAACAGCGTGTTCTTTCAGTGCCCTGGGAGGACATTACTCACTCGACCTACTCACAGATTATTTAGGAGAAATGTAGCAGTGCTATTAAACAGTGCTCACTGTTTACTGTTGATTAAAAGTCTCAGTTGTATTGATGTTACATGTCAATTTTTTTCGACAGAAAAGATAACAAACAATACTGGCCTGTTAGAATTTCAAAAAGTACTGTTCATATTAACTTATAGGATAGTCATCATTTTTGTTTCTAACTAGCACTCTTGCTTAGTCTCATACTCTGGTATTTAAATTTTCTATCCATGTGTGCTAAGTTGCTTCAGTTGTGTCTGACTCTTTTTGACACTATGGACTGTAGCCTGCTAGGCTCCCCTATCCTTGGGATTCTCCAGGTAAGAATATTGGAGTGGATTGCCATCCCCTCCTGCAGGGGATCTTCCTAGCCCAGGGATCCAACCCGTGTCTCTTAAGTCTCCTGTGTTGACAGGCAGGTTCTTTACCACTAACGCCACCTGGGATGCCCTTTTATAGGTATGCCAATTGAAATGCTCTTTGCAGCGGTCTTAACATCTGATTCATTCTGTTAACATAAATGGTTCATTAATGAAGAGTAGATTAAGTCTGTGATGTGTTTCCTTTATATTTATGTGAATCATGTTTCAACTGTTTGAAAACTGTACTCCTTAACAACTGTCATGAACCATTGCTTCCTTTCGAAACTTGCTCAAATGCTACCTTCTTCTGGAAGCATTCTTTGACTACTCTGTATAAAATAAGAACCTGTGTACATGGTCAGCATTTCCTATCCCCATTTCTTTGCTTTTTCCCCCGTCTCGTCATAATACCTGTTATTTCATTTTGATTTGTTTATTTTTTGTTTTCCCCCACCAGAGTGTGAGCTCCATGAGATTAGGAACTTTCTTTTCCAATGCCTGGAGCAATATTGGCTTATAATATGGCTCAGTTAATTCTCTTGAATGAAAGAATTCATTAATATAATGCACCCTGCTCCCCAAGGGCTAATTACAGTGTGTACATCCACATTTATCATCTCATACTTAGAATTATAGTGCTTATTAGTAGGTTCAGTACTGAATACTGGAACTTCGTGTTTTCTTTTCTCTACATTGAGTGACTTATTCTGGGCCTGCTCGTGAGACAGATACCTTTGAAATTCCATTTCTCAGTCTGTGAATGGGAACAGTAACGTACTTGAGAGACCAGCCCCTGACATCATAACACTTTGAGCTTTCTGTAGTGAAGGCCAACAGTAACAACATAATGCTGACTTACTGCTTTTACTGTCAGTAGTGATAATCTAGGAGTAACAACTTCAGTTTTCAAAGTGGATATTCAGTATTAAAAGTTTTCAAAACTAACATTCAGTATTAAAACTAATATTCAATATTAAAAATACTTTTTTACTAGAAACAATACTTCCCAAGAAAACACTTTTTAGGTGATTTTCATTCAGTACCAAAAAGGACCTCTCTCCTTTTCTTACCATGTGTAAAAAAAGAGTAAACTAACTTAGGGAGTATTTTATCACTTTGGCTAAATAAGTGATAGAAAAGTGTACTAGGAAGTCTAATAGTCAAATTGAACTCAAAGACAGGCATTCTGTTTAGTTTCTATATCACTGCTGGGTGATGGAAGAAGTCTGGGTTTATCATTTTGGTCTTAGCTCATAGACCTGGAGAAGGGATCATGTTTTTTTCCAAGGGGTTTGACTTTCAGAGGGTGTTTATTATCTAAGAGTTACCTGTTCTGCTAGGTTGCCCCTTTTGTGAACCTTTGGGTAGAGAAGGATAGCTTTTCTTTGGGCTTGTTATGTTTATGCTCATTGGCACGTCCTCATTGCTGGTCATTCCATTATCCAGTTTGGAATTTATGAGAGAGACTAAAAGCAAGCTGACAAAATTTGCTACTGTGTCATTCCTTGGGTCCTCAGATTCCCAGGCGGTCTGTTTTCTTGTCCCCCTCTGTAGTCTTCTTATATTTGTTTTAAAGATAATGTCCAGGCCTTTCAGCTGTACTTACTGAGAAATCTAGGGAGATGTGCATCTACCTCATCTTAGTCTAGAAGTAAAATAAGAAGGAATATTTTAAATTTTAAATATAATGTATTATAGCTACTACAGGAAATCAATTCCACCTTAAAATACATTAATTTAGAGCAAGTATTTTGAGTGAATTTTTTTTAAAGGAAATTAGTGTAAGTAATCAGCTCATAGAGTCATTGTAGGTAGAGGAGGGGTAAATAAAAATGTGTATCTCAGTTTGTGAGATAATTCATAAATCTCTATATCTGTATTATACTTATAAGTTTATGCATAAATAGGTTATGTGTTAGGCTTTTTGGAAATATATTTTTAATAAATATTTTTAAATTAATTGTACCTGATTATTAAGCATTGAGAAAATCTTGAGCTTTTCTCTGTGACCTACTTTGTATAATTAATTTTTTTTTCTGGGAATATAGCCCTTTTTAAAAACTGGCACAAAGTTTGTTCTATCTAATACTTTTTAAGAACTAGAAGATGTGATTAAATTTGTGAATATCAAAGGAGAATACTCTATACTAAATATAAGTAGGATGAAATTTTAGCAAAAGTGAGTTTTGGAATCATGAATATAAAGTTTTTTGCTTGAATTTGTGGCCTATCAGTCATGCCTCAGATATTTGAAAGTTAATGTACTTATTGTATATTTTCTTCAGACTATGGTAATCCATATAATTTTTATATTAAGCCATATGTTACATACAAGTTTTCTAAATGTGTGTGGCGCTCAATGAAATAGAAAAAGTTTTCTTTCCTGCTATTTTTGATGATAGGGATAATATATTGGTGCTTGCCTCTCTATGGTATCCTAAATAAAGCAAAATATCCAGGAGTACACAAAGATAATCCTGGCAAGACTGGATTAAATTGACTGAAAAGTTTATGTGTGGAGGTGTACAATACAGAAAAAGAAAACAAAATTCACACCTTCTCATCACCATGAAAAATCTAGGTATTTTCAAGTGATCTGAAAATGTAGTGCTTGAATTTTCAATCACTGCCTCCACTTAGACCAGTGTTGGGTGTACTTTTGTCATGATTTTAGTCTAACCAGAGATGGAGTAATTAATAAATGGAATGTTTGTAAAACCCATAAACTTTGAAAAAAAAACCAAAAACATTAACTGTTACAGAGAATTCTGACAGTGTTGATTTTTGTGATATGGTCTAATTGCTAGGCTAGGTGGAGGGGTGTTAATGTGCCGGTAACAGAAGGAAATAACAAAGAACATAAACCCTGAAGCACAATGGGGGTGTGCACTACCTCTCCTTTCCTGTTCAGTCCAGGGTGTGTAGCCCAAGCAGAGGAAGAAAAGTGAGTCATGCTGCGTTTGTCTGAGGTAGCTATTTAAAGGACTTCTCGTGAAACATGAATAGAGAACTTATCTTAGTATAATTTGGATTCCAGTGTCTTCTGTTTTATTTCTTTGACTCTCATAGCCA